ATCTGTTACATCTCCTGTGGGACTGGGTGGAAGCACAAAGCAGCGTCTCTGGAGAGTGTGAACAGAGTGAGAGAGAGCGGGCAGGGCCGTGTGATTGCGAGTGGAATATTTCTGCTCCAGGTCACTGTCTAATTGGAAGTCTCAGATTCGCCTAAAAACAGACCAAAACATTTCCCAACCTTCAAAAACATAATTGGTAAGCCAACCCTCTCTCCCCAGGACAAATGAAGTCACCACCCATTTCAGAAGCTGATCTTAGCCCGGGGTTGACTCACAAAGAAATGTGCCAAAGCAGAGGAAGCATGCGTTTTCACATACTGTTATTCTTTTTTTTTGGGGGGGGGGCAGTATATTTTGGTTTCTTTTTTCTTCCTGTTCTCCAGAACAGAATTCTTTTTAATTTTAAGACTTTATTTATTTATTTTTAGAGAGAGGTGAAGGGAGGAAGAGAGGGAGAGAAACATCAATGTGTGGTTGCCTCTTGCACACCTCCTACTGGGGACCTGGCCCGCAACCCAGGCATGTGTCCTGACTGGGAATCAAGCCAGCGACCCTTTGGTTCATAGGCCGGTGCTCAATCCACTGAGCCACACCAGCCAGGCTCCAAGACAGAATTCTGAGGACCAGTATTCTTTGCACCATTTCCTGGGACTGCTTCTCCGAGAGGGAAGAGTTCTCAGCATTCCCTGCTGCCCCGTGTTCCCACTCCTCCAGAGTCCCTTCCAGTATTCAGAGTGTGACCCAGGCAGTATGCATAGTAGCCCATGACAGTCACATTTTGGGGAGAGGAATTCAGGGTGGGGACAGATAAGAGGTATTCATGTAGGAGGTACCCTCATCATCTTACCTTACTTGGAAAAGAACTTCCCTCCAGCGGATGTTAATTGAAAGCAGCACTGAAATGTAGTGCCTGGGGCATGGTGGTGAGAACACGTGTGCTTTGCAGTATTTGTCCGGGAGCAGGACTGGACTCATCCTATGGGAGGTGACTGACGGGGTTCAGAGTTCCATCTGGGACTGGATAGGCTGAGCCGACCCAGTGAGCAGAGCCCAGCTGAGTGCCAGGATGTGCAGCCTGCAGGTTTTCTCCTTTGGTTCTTAGGCTCCGTGTGGGCTTTCCCACTCCACGGTCTCCAGGATTCACGCATCCATCCATCCAACAAATATATATCAAGCACCTACTATGTGCCAGGTGGGGTGGTACATCAGTGACTGAGGCAGACAGAGGTCCATGCCTTTAGGAGGCTTACCTCTCAGTGGGAGACAATAAATAACTACTAGATTTTAGACGGTGAGACGTGCTGAGGAGAAAAATAGGGTAAAGCACAGGAAGAATGTGAGCACTGCAGTTTACAGAGGGTGGTTGGGGAGAGTCTCAGTGAGAAGTGACATTGGAGTGAAACTGTGAAGGGGGGGAGCACTGACCCATCCTCAGTCTGGGCGAGGGGCAGGGGGTGAAAACTGAGGCAGAGAGAACAGCAGGTGCAAAGACCCCGGGAAGGGGCCACACCTGCCGTGTTCAGGACCAGCAGGGAGGACCGCGGGGCGGAAGCCGTGCAGGAGAGGGACAGGGAGAGGTCGGGAGGACAGGCCCCACGGGGCTCTGGCTCTTTCTTCGCCTCACGGCGGGATGCTATGGGGGGACTCCAAGCGGAGGAGTCATGTCATGACTTAATTTGACGGGTCTCACCAGATGCGTGTTGAGGGCGGGCCAACAGGGACAAGGTGAGAAGCCCAGCTAGGAGGAAGGCGTTCGCAGTTACACAGGTGAGAGGATGGGGACCTGGGCCCAGGCGACAGCCAGAGGGGGTGGCAAAAGCAGTCAGATTCCGACTGTGTCTCCAAGGTGGAGCCAGAAGTGTTTGCCGACTCGCATGCCGAGTGTGGGGAGGAAGAAGGGTGACTCCCAAGGCTTTGGGGCTGAGCCGCGGGAGGGCTGGAGTGCCTGCCGTTCACTGCGGTGGGGGGCTTTGATGGAGGCGCAGAATTAGAGAGAGATCAGTAGCCCTGTTCAGGGCTAATTAGATTTGAGTTGCTTATTAATGCAGTTGCCAGTAGTCAGTCAGATATGCAAATCTGAAGACATAAATTTGGGAGTCACCATTGTGTAGAACCTATATGTTACTGGTTTTTAAAACCACGAGACTTGATGAAATCACCCAGGAAGTATGTGTAAACTGAAGAAAAACAGGTCTTAAGCTAGAGCCTGGGGGCAGCCCAAGCATTTAGGATTCGAGAGTTGGGGAGGACCCAGCCAAGGACGTCCTAGAAGAGGTGGCCAGAGACGTGGGCGGCCAGCCTGGCAAGCGTGTCCTGGAGCCAAGTGAAGAGAGTGTTTTCCAGGAGGAAGACGGGTCAGCTGTCGGAGGATCCACTCAGAAGATGAGGCCTAGGAATGAAACCTTAGACTTAGCGAGGTAGAGGTCAGTGGTGGTGTGCGCAGGCTCTGTGTGTGGGTGGGGCAGGGGCTGCCTGGCTGGAGCAGGTTCAAGGAAGACTGGCAGGAGAGACACTTGGGATAGCGAGTGCAGGTGACGCTTGCAAGGAGTTTTTCATTGAGAAAAAGAGAAATAATAGATCCTAGCTAATGAAGGGAATTTTAGCTTCTTGATGAAGTTGTGGACACACATCAGGGTCCTGGGCTCAGGCTGGGGTCAAAGTTCAGAGTCGGGAAGACTGGGTGGCCCGGTGCGGTGCCTAGGTGGAGACACAATCTCCATTCTTCATTCACTTTTCTCCTTTGGCTAGTGGTATTAGCCAACCAACACCCCGAGTTGTTCCTCTTTAATAAAAGTCAAAGGAATTCCTTTTACTGTTTGTTATTGAGCTCCTTTACAAGGTTACTGTGACGGCTGGAAACTTGCTTCTCGGCGACGCTCAGTGCGGTTTGGAGTCGTGCACAAGCTGGTTCCCTTAGCTCGTTTGTCAGCTCCCTCAGAGGCTCAACTCTGTTCTCCAAAACCAGCCTGGCTCGCTCTTCCCTTACCAGCTCCGAATCCTTCCAGGCCAGGCAACTGGGAAAGACGAGGCTTAGAAACTATTTTGTTGGCTCTTGGCCCAGCTGCGCTGACCAAAATAGACAGCAGAAGGACTGTTTGTGTGGAGTGAAATTCCTGCAGGCGAAATACCAGAGCGGGAGGCCAAGAAAGCCGTGGCTGGGGCGGCAGGAACCTTCGGGGGTGGGGAAGGCTGGGTGCCCACGGCCCGGCTGGGGAGTGTGAGCCAAGCGTCCCTCCCAGAGAGAGGGGAGCTTCGTGAAGCCTGCTGTCGGGGTGTTTCTTTCGGCCCCTCTTCTCGCTCGTTCCCTGTCTCAAGGGAAAGAGCAGCGGAACAGCCCCTAGCCCACAGCCAGGGCTTCTGGGCCCCTCGGGCCGGTTCCTGTTATGCGGAGCTGCCAGTGTCCATCTATCCATGGAAAGACCCCCAGGACGGAGACGCGCTCCCGCCGGCATGGGGCATGGTGGGGGAAAGCGGTGCTGCACACGGCCCGGCCCCTGCCCCACGCTTGTTGGGGCGGGAGGGAAGGGGAACATGTTTCCGGGGCGAGTTATGCATGAGCTCCGAAGGAGGACTGCGGATAGACAAATGGAGGAGAGCACGCTTAGGTTCCGAGTGAGAGGGCTCGTCGGGAGCTGCAGAAGCGGAGAAGGCGAAGGCGGGCGAGAAAGGAGGGGGGTGGAGGGGGAGGAGAGGTAGGAGGGCAGATGGTTTTGGCCTCTCTGAGTTTATCCTAGATCAACTGGAAGCTCCTGCAGGGTTTATGCTGGGGAGTGGCCGAATGGGATTTGCATCATGGGAAGTTTCTTCTGCCCCGGCCCGTGTGGCGCAGGGGGTTTAGCGCGGCAGTGAACCAAAGGTCTCTGGGTGTGAGTCCCAGGCAGGGCACAGGCCTGGGCTGCGGGCCGGGTCGCCAGGTGAGGGCGTGCGAGAAGCAGCGGTCGTATTTCTCTCGCACGTCGCACAACGGTGTTTCCCTTCCTCTCTTTGTCCCTCCCTCCCTCTCTCTCTCTAAAAAATAAATAAATGAAATCTTAAAACACAAAAAAGATTCTCCTGACCAGAATAGGGAGACTGGACACGAGGGGCAAGACCAGCGCTGGGAAGCCCTTTGGACGGCTCTGGGCAGTATTTCAGGCCGAGCTGACGGCGCTTAGTGCCGGGACAGCGGTGATGGCGACGAGGGGCGCTGAGGCTTGTGCTTGGGAGGTAGAATCACAAGGACTGGATGACTGGTGATGAGGGTGGCGCTCAGGTTTCACTGTGATCGGAAATACCAGCAGAGAGGATGTTTTACCCAGACCTTCGCTCAGCCTGCGCCACGGAAGAGCTGCCTTCGCCGTGGGCCGGCCGGCGTGTCTGTTTGGTGGTGCAGACAGACCGGGTCCACCCGGGGCGGGGGCCTCCCGTGAGCACGAGGGAGACGTCAGGCTGTCGTTCCTTAGTGGGCGGTGAGCGTCACCAGAGGCATCCACCTCCTCTCATCTCAGGGGCCTGGAAGACCCCTGTGAGGAAGTCCCCTGCCTGTCACACACTGTGCTGTCAGTAAGTCTGGCTGAGTAGGCGTTAGCTAGTAAGAGAGGAGAAAGCTCTAAGCAAGGAAAGGGCATCAGCAGAGATGGAGGCTCCTCCAGGGTCTAGAGGAAGGCCCCTGGTGCCCGGGGACCGGAGAGCTAGGGGGAGGGTGGGCGGAGGCGGCAGCTCAGTGTCGGAAGTCCTGCGGGCAGCCCAAGTGGAAGGCGCCCCGAGGGCTGGATGCACGTGGTCTGCACTCAGCGGAGAGACCTGGGCCCCGCGCGGCCGACCCGTGGAAGATGCCTGCAGCCATGTCTGTGGGCACGGTCACTCACGGAGTGGGTGTTGGCTGAGAAGGACGGATTCTGAGAAACGTCAGCATTGAAGGGGTGGCAGAAGGAAAAGGAACCCACAAGGGGAAGAGATGACCAAAGAGGCAGAAGAAAATCCATGGTGTTGTTTTTTGTTTGTTTTTTTGAAGAGTTTATTTATTTTTAGAGAGAGGGGAACAAAGGGAAAAGAGAGGGAGAGGAGCATCGATGTGTGAGAGAAACACAGTTTGGGCGCCTCTCGCGTTCCTGCCGCAGCCCAGGCACGTGCCCTGACTGGGAATCGAACTGGTGACTTTTCGGTCTGCAGGCCGGCACTCAGTCCACTGAGCCGCACCAGGCAGAGCCCATGGTGTTTTCGAGGAGGCAGGAATGGTCGAAGGTCAAGAACTGAAGAGGGTCTCTTGGCTTTGGTAATGAGGAGGTGACCTGTGAGGAAAGGCAGAGAGCCAGGGTGAGAGTCCCAGTGCCACTGCTGGGGGTGCGAACAAGTGAGAAATGAGGGGACGGGGTCGGCCAAGGACAGAGGAAGAGACGGCTGTAGCTGGAGGGGACAAAGGTAGAAATACACTCTCGGTCTGCCCACCAAGAGCTGGGATGCTCAGGGCATGCTTTACTCATGGCCTTAGAGTTTAACTGGCTTCCAGTCAAGGGAAAGGAAAGACAGGCGTGGCCCCATCGGGCACTGGACGTTTTCCGTGGAGCCAGAGCGAGCTACTATTGCTTGTATAGTAAATCACTGTGCAACTTCACCGGCCAAGGGACTCTGCTGGGGAAGTTTTAGCCAACCTGACACAGAACTCTGAAAGAAATGCTTCCTTTTCTTCCAAGAACATGCAGCCATCCGCCTTACCAGTGTTGTTGCTGAATGTCGGTCTCAGTGACTGGACATAAGCTGCTGGAAAGGGCAAATGGCCCAGTTAAAACGGTGGAAGTGGTGTAACACAGTTACGGTACATAACTGCCTGAGAGTCCCTTTGCAGCCTCCACGCAAAGGAGAAGCTCAGCACAATGTAGGTCCAGAGTACACAGTTTAAATATAAGCTTCCGAGTTAATGAGGTTCTAAAGTCTTTGATCACAATCTTGTAGTTCCGTACCTGCGCCATTTCTTAGCCACTTTTCATTTCCAAACACCAACGGGAAATGCTTCTCGTTTCCCTCGCGTGGTCAGTTTGAGGGTGCAGCTCTGTTCATCTCAGGGTACCATGGCAGGGAGATCGGTGGGTCTCGGTTTTGGCTGCCCAGGTCCGCAGCGCAGGGGCCACAAAACTCTGAGTGGTCCCGGGAGAAGTACTTACAAATGCTGGTTTGCAGCCTAGAGGAGTATCTCGAGAGCCAGCTGGGGAGGGAAATGAGACCCCACTGAAACGGTGCGACGGGGGGCGCCAGCAGGCTGCAGCTCACTTCAGTCAACTGTGCTGTCGCTTCCAACGGAAGGCTCACTCAGAGCCCAGCCCAGCCTCCCCGCGGTTTGAGTCCAGCGGAGTAACAACTGCGGAGGGACAGAGGGAGATGGGGAAGGGCGATGAGTGAGAGGCTCACGGCCAGTTTTCATTTCCTTGGCGCTCCGTCCTGTGCTGATGTCCTTCCGCTCCACAACAGAAGATGTCTGCGGGAGGGTCACTCACCAGTTTTCGCTAAGTGAGCCCGAGCCCAGGGAGCCCCCCGGGAAAGCCTCTGCCTTCCCTTCCCAGGCCTGCCAGCGACTAACTCGTCGTGTGTGTGTAGGGGCCTTTGTTTTCATCTTGTGTTCTCATCAGTAGCACGGTCTGAGAATTGTAAAAATCTTAGAGGTGATTCAGGCCAAGTGTCCACCCCTCCACCCTGGACACCCCGGCTCTGGCGGACACACATTCTGCCTCTGGTTAAATGGCCCCAGGGAAGGGAGAACATCACTTCAAAAGGCAACTGATTGTATCTTCTGAACGCTTTCCCTGTATTAACCTGAAAACTGCCTTCTTGAAATTTCTTCCCTGAAGTTTTGGTTCCACCCTTTGAGCCCACGGGTGGAACAAAGACCCTGGTGACGGTGGCTGCTCTGCATCCCCGTCACCGCTGCCGTCCTCCGGACCAGCTCCCCGGCAGGTCCCGCCCCCTTCCAGAGCACCCCCCAGGATGGAACCTGACCCTCCAGATGTGGCCCAAGTGTGCAGAACACACTAGGACTATTCTTTTTCTCCTGTGACTGAATTTTTTGGAAACGCAGCCCAAGATTGCAGTAGCATTTTTGGCAACCGCGTCTAGATTCTGCTGGCTCCCATTTAGCTTTGAGTTAAAACCACTGGGGCTTTTTCATATGACTCACTATTAAGCTCTGTCTTCCTGTTCTGTATACATGTGACTTAAAAAAAAAATCTTAAGTGCAGAATTTATTCAACTTCAAAGTTTAAAGCCACCATTTACTGATTACCCACTGTGTGCTTAATGCCTCTCATATCAATTGCCGGCGCCTCCTGGAATCCCGAGGATCACATCCCACCCCCCGTCGGACAGGACGGGGCGGTGGGGGCTGGGAGGGGAGTGCCCCGGACTCCCCACAGAGGGCCGGCGTGGGGCGGATTCTCCCTGAGACCTGGGGCCTCCTGCACACCCCAGTCCCTTAAGGTCTCCGTGGACCCAGTGCTGACTCCCGCTGTGTTTGCAGTCCTCCTCGGTCTTGTGACATCTGCAGGCTGAACTTGCCTGCGAGGTCCTTGGGGTTTCCCAAAGCTGGGAGGTGGTTAGACTGCTCTAAAGCGTCATCTTCCAGCTTCTCGGGCATAAAACCAGTGTTTAAAAACACGAAAGAGAATAGAAAAATATCAGCCCCTCACATGTAGTAAGGGCAGATTTTGTTTCCGGAAACCTGCTGCGTGAGCACGGGGCAGGGAGGTGTGTGAGTGTGTGTGTGTTTGTGGGTGTGCGTGTGCCCTGGGTCTTTGGGTATTTTGTGTTTGTATAACCGTGGTTGATGGTCTGAATAGTTTGAGCACTTTTCCAAAGAAAAAAATGTTTTTGAGTCAACTGAGACTGTTTTCATTATAACACTACAACTTAATTATGTACACACATAAATCTGTGTATCAACTCAGTGATCTAGCTCCTCTAAAATTAATTGAATAGCTACCAAAAAGCCAGTAAAATTCAAACTGGCCGCACCACTCTGTGAGGGCGACATTGGCTGGAACCTGACTCGCTGCCGTCAGCGTAAGTGCAGCGCGGACCTGACACCCTGGGCTCCGTGACTTCCGCACGCCCACCTCGCAGTGTCTGGTGTGCAGACACCGCCTGCCCACGCTGCTGGGGAGCTGTCATCCCTCCCGTCGCACCGACGCATCATGAGTTAATTGTGCAGAATTCCGTTGCCTTCATTAGCCCACGCAGTGAGAGGGGTGCCACTCGGCACTGATACAGCTGTAAACACACGGGCCCCGAAATGTGCAGATCTGGGGGTGCTCTCTAGTATTTGTCCTTTTTTAGAAGATGATCTTTGCAGTGAAAACAAGAATAAGACATTCTGGTAGAGAAAGTGTGAGCCTCCACGGAGAGGCCCACAGGCCTGGGTCCTGGGACCCATCCCTAGCCTGAGGTGCCCTGGTGGACAGTGGGCTGGGGGGGGGGGGGCGGGGCAGCAATCTGAGACAGCACGGATCTCAGAGCTTGGGTGCAGGCATGTCCGGCTTAGCCCCCAGATGAGCCTGTCATCCTGCCTGCAGTATCTTCCTTTCATGTTCATAAAAATATTACAAAAATTTGCCCTGACTGGGGTGGCTCAGTGGATTGAGTACTGGCTTGCAAACCAAAGGTCGCAGGTTCGATTCCTGGTCAGGGCACATGCCTGGGTTGTGGCCCCGGTTCCCCAGTTGGAGGCGTGCGAGAGGCAGCCAGTCGCCCTCTCTCTCACACATTGATGTTCCTCTCCCTCTATCCCTTCCCCTTTCTGTATAAAGTAAATAAATAAAATCTTTAAAAAATATATTATAAAAATTTCAGTCAGGTGCCTTGTTGAAGGAAAATGTGCACTGTAGGCCTTTCTCCTGATGCGTCCCCCCCAACCCTCGTAAAACAGTAGTTCAGCCTGGATGGTTTTTAGCACCCCCGAGCGTATTCCCGAGGATCACTGCTTCCTTACCCCCATGATTGTGGCGCCGTACAGTCACGTGTTCTGGGGTGTTTGCTGTACAGTTACTTGTTATTTCAGGGTCCCCCTGTACTCCGGGTGCTGCTCAGAGTGCCCTCTGGCTCCTCGCTCGCTCTGCAAGTGGAGTGCAGGTTGTGTGGCCTTAGGACCTGGGAACCATTCGGGCTTTCAAGGCACAGGTGTGCTTTCTTACCCATCCATCCCCTGCCCTGGCTTCAGTGCCTCCTTTGCCTGCACTTTTTCCCATTTAGGAATCTTCTTCCAATAGAGAGATCAGCCAGAGGCCAGCCAGGATTAACTGGTTCCACTTTCTCCCCAACTTCTGTCCTTTTCTGGACCAGATATCCCGCAGGGGCTCGAGGCCCTATGAGTCATTCTGCCTTGTTGAGCCTCTGAAGTAAGGAGCGCCCTTATCGTTTCAGTGCTTCCTGAAATCTGCCTTCTAAAGGCCTGGGGCTGCTCCCCCCACCCCCCCGGGGCACGCCCGCCTTTCCCGCCCCCTCCTCCTCCCCGTGGGCACGGCTCCTTTACCTTCCTCTCTCCTGCACTCCAAGGGCCCTCCTCCTGCCTCTGGAACTCGCTTCCTGAGCCCAGTCTTCTGTGGATTACTTCTTCCACCTCTGTGACTTTCAAAATGGACTTTCCCTCATAAAAAAAGGAAAAGAAAAACTAAAGGTCTCGGACACAGGCCAGGCTCTGCCCGTGTGCTTTTCTGTAGTGGTTTGTGGGCCGAGATGGCATGGGTTCTGTCCCCCAGCTCTCACGGTTTCCACTGCGCCTGCGTTCCACTTATCTCAGGGCAGAGGTGAGAGGTTCCCCTTGTTGCTTCCTCCACACTCTTTATTGTTCTTTATTTAAGAAAAGTACAGTAGAATACATTTACTGTGAGAAAATGACAAAATACAGAAAAACAAGGTAAAAATTCTTCTAAGTCAAGCAAAATTCAACCACCAAGCTCTAATGGTTTTTTAACATTTTAGCATGTTAAGACTTTTTTCTACTATATTCATATATTAAAATATATACACATTTAAGCAAAAATAGCACTTACTCTATTTTCATTCTCATAATATTCAGTGATTAGCTTCCTAGTCTTGATGATACCTACGGGGCCAACTAGGCGACACCTAGTATGGCCCGCACCCACTGTCCTGCGTTCAAGTGTAAATGCACGTAAAGCAGTTCTCCATCTGCTGTGGACCAGTACTGGTGGGCGTCGGGCCTCTGGGGTAGAGGCAATCGTAAAAGACCCCAGACTTTCTCATGGGGCGGGAGTGGGGACATCCTCCTTGTCAGGGACCCTGACTGAGTGAGGCTTCTGTCCCAGGCTGGCTTGGCACCTGGAGACAGCAGCACTGAGCAGGAAGTTTGGGTTGACGCTGGAGGGCCCTGCCACCCAGCGTACAGGGGTTCCGACCTTGCTAGGGGGAGTCAGCATGCCCTGCAGAGAGGGCTCCCTGGGCGGTGGCGTTCAGTTACTGAAGCTCCTCCTGCTATAATCTCAGCCTCTTCGTGTTATCTCAGGCTTGATGATGGCTGGAGGGGACAGTCCAGGGAAGACAGGACCAGCTGTCCTCACAGCCGTGGATGGCTGAGTCTGCGGAGAGGGGGCGGGGTGTGTACTGAGACCAGGTGCGGAGCTGCTAGGCCCAGGTGGGGTGAGTGTGGGGAGAGGTCGTCAGCCTCTCTCGGAGAAGCAGCAGCAAACAGAGACAGAAAGAAAATCTGAGACACGTGGGTCTGGGTTCTGTTTTGGCATCTTGTGCATTACCTTCTTTTCTCCCGGCAGATCCACAGACCAGCATGGCCGCCACTGCCGCCGTCAGTCCCAGCGACTACCTGCAGCCCGCTGCCTCCACCACCCAGGTGAGTGGGCTCCGAGGGCGCGGGGCTGCATCAGGCTGGAAGGACCCACTGGAGCGGCCATTCAGCCACAACTGAACACTCACTATAAATACCCCGGGATGTAAGCCAGGGAAGGTTCGGTTATCCACTGTTTCTGAACTGAGGAGCCATGGCCACTTAATCCGAGGTGCCACAGTTGGGTCAGGGGCGAAAAGCAGGATTCAACTCTGGTCCCGTCCACCAGAACCCGCTGACTGACTGTATAAGGAGAATAGAGCATGTGTCCCCCGCCCCCCCCCCCAAGTCTCCCTGTAGCCTCAAAAGAACAGCCCTCTGTGGTCAATGAAGTCCTGTCCCACGCACTCGGAAACACTCACCCAGAGGGTTGATTCCTCTTGTTGCCCCTCCTTTATGCTTTCCCTCCTTGCCTTCCTCAGTCGAGGAATTGGGGATCCCTGAACCCCTGTGACAGGCCAACAGAACTCCAAGAGCTGAGGGTGGTTGTGTGTCCCTGTTAGAAACGAGGCCCGGGGAGGGGGAGTAAGTGGTCAGTTTATGCTGCTAATTCAACCTGTCATGGTGTGCTTTAGGGGTGCTCCCTGAGAAAGACATGCCCTCCCCTTTTTCCCTTAACTCAGTGGAGAACCCAGCAGGGGGGATAGCACCTCCGCAGGGGAGGACGCTGGCACCCAGCCTGCCACAGAAGTGGGGAGGGGCCTGCCGAAAGGGGAGGATCGGAACGGGCAGAGGGTGCTGGGCAGCGGGCCCTCACGCCTAACCCCGTTTCCGCACTCGGTGTTTTGCAGGACTCCCAGCCGTCTCCCTTAGCCCTGCTCGCCGCAACATGTAGCAAAATCGGGCCTCCGGCTGTTGAGGCTGCAGTGACACCTCCTGCGCCCCCCCAGCCCACCCCACGGAAGCTCGTCCCTATCAAACCTGCCCCGCTCCCTCTCAGCCCCGGCAAGAACAGCTTTGGAATCTTGTCATCCAAAGGAAACATACTTCAGATTCAGGGCTCACAGCTGAGCGCCTCCTACCCTGGCGGTCAGCTGGTGTTTGCCATTCAGAACCCCACCATGATCAGCAAAGGGACCCGGTCGAATGCCAGCATCCAGTACCAGGCGGTCTCCCAGATTCAGGCGAGCGGTTCCCAGACCATCCAAGTGCAGCCTAATCTCACCAACCAGATCCAGATCATCCCCGGCACCAACCAAGCCATCATCACCCCGTCGCCGTCCAGTCACAAGCCTGTCCCCATCAAGCCAGCCCCTGTCCAGAAGTCGAGTACAACGACCACTCCCATGCAGAGCGGGGCCAACGTGGTGAAGCTGACAGGAGGGGGTGGCAACGTGACCCTCACTCTGCCTGTCAACAACCTCATGAACACCAGCGACACCGGGGCCCCCACGCAGCTCCTCACGGAGAGCCCCCCCACTCCGCTGTCCAAGACTAACAAGAAAGCCAGGAAGAAGAGTCTCCCTGCCTCCCAGCCCTCCGTGGCCGTGGCCGAGCAGGTGGAGACGGTGCTGATCGAGACCACGGCGGACAACATCATCCAGGCAGGGAGCAACCTGCTCATCGTCCAGAGCCCTGGCGGGGGCCAGCCGGCCGTGGTGCAGCAGGTCCAGGTGGTGCCCCCCAAGGCCGAGCAGCAGCAGGTGGTGCAGATCCCCCAGCAGGCCCTGAGGGTGGTGCAGGCGGCGTCTGCCACCCTCCCCACTGTCCCCCAGAAGCCCTCCCAGAACTTTCAGATCCAGACGGCTGAGCCGACGTCTACTCAGGTACCACGCACACCCTCTGCACCTGCCTCCTCTTCCTCCTCCTCCTCAGCCCCGACTGGCTAGCGCTCCATCCTGTCCAGCTTGCTTTCCAAGATGATGCTGAGGCATCTCCCAGTGCGATCCGAATGTTGGGAGTCAGTATCGTTTGGGGTGGGCGGTGCGCGGCCACTTCTGTAGAAATCAGACGCAACATACCTATTACCTATGTTTTGGCCCCCTTTTTCTTTATGGGGGTCTTTTAGGGGGTATGGAGGGGATAGATACCTACTTCTTAATAATAAAATGTATTTGGTATTAGAGAATGACATACTGAAAACAGTAGCAGGAATGAAAAAAATCCCAGTCAGAACCATAGAATCCGATGTGAAGTGAGACTGCGAGACAAACGCTGACTGTTGCTGATGACGAGGGGAAACAGGAAGCAGCAGACGAGCCCAGGGACGGGGGCACATTCAGGCTGGTCACCCGGGACGGGGACCCTGGCGAGCCCGCTCCTCTCCTTGGCATTCGCTGAGATGCTCTGATGCTCGGCTCCACGAGGTAGGCTTTACTCGCCATGTGTGCCCACGACATGCCCCTGGCGCGGGCAAGAGACCCAGGGCCCAGAGAAGGCACAGGGTGCCCAGACCTCACTCACAGTGCACGGGTGACAGGGACCGGGACTGAGCTCGTTTCCCACCCCAAACTCGTCTCCATCTTTTCCACCTTGACTCATCGTGTCTCACGTGTGGCAGGTGCTACCACTAAAATTGAGGACAGGGATTTTTTAAAATATAAAAAAACAGCTCCTGCCCTCGAGGAATCGGTAATCTAGTCATCTGCAGAGAGCTCTGGGCACCAGTGAGTCACAGCAGGAAGTCGGGCGGTCTGCCGGGGGGAGGAGCGCCCGCCCTTGGGTTTGAGCTGTGGGCATGAAGTCGGGGGAGCCTGGCCTCAGATGCCTCCTCCCTCCCGGCACACTAGGTATCGCCAAGTGATTTCTTCTAAATTATTTAATTCACTTATTACAATACCCGCGAGGTTCCATTCTCAAGCCTACCTTGCAGATGGAGAACGGGGTGATGACGCCCTCCCAGGTGCACACGTCCTCAGCGGCGCCTCCCCTCCCTCTCCTGGGGTTCTGGGTCTGAAGATTGGCGGAGGCAGGGTTTGAACCCAGGGCTCCCTAAGGAAGTAATTATACAGATGGAGAAAGGTTTAGCTACAACATAATTTCTTAATGATAACACAGTTCTCCATTATCCTCAGGTGCCTGTCTACTGTACAGCTAATACTCTTCTAACTGTGTATCTAGGCTGTTTCCAACCTTAGAGCTAAGTAAATTCCTAAAAGTAAGTCAAAGGATATGCACATTTTTTTTAAAAATCTATTGTTTTCTGCATCAGAGATTGTCAGTCCACAGCCCTCAGATCAAGCCTGGCCCACCCGTCTGTTTTTATAAAGAAAGCTTAAGGCGTGACCATTGAAGCTGAGACACGCCCAGGAGTGCAGCCTGTGCTCTCCAAGGCAGCGGCCCTGCGGCCCGTAGAGCACGCCACATCCCCTGCCCGCCCTTTGCAGGGAGAGGCTGCGGGTCCCTGCTCCGAGGGGTGAGCGGGACGTGTTCTGGTAACAGAGACTTGAAACACACAGAAAGTAGCAGTGACTTTCAAAAGGGCACACACCGGAGCACTGGAGATGAGATTTGTATGTTGGGATGACCTGAGATTGGTTCGTTGGCTTTTAACTGAGGAACACGGCCCTACATAATTTAGGAATCAAAAATAACCCCCGTCGCAATCACAGCAGGATTTTTTTTTTTTTACAAAGAATTTTTCCCCTGAACCATTGGAGCATAAGTTGCCACCAAACGTTTTATGGAAAGTGTGTAATCCTTACACACGGGACCTTCCACACAACAACTGCACGGCCATTGGACGTGGGAGATGAGCGGTGAGACACGCAGATGTCTTAATTCAGAGACCCGTTCAGGGCTCGCTGCTTTTCCTAGTAACTCCTCTGTGGCAGCAGTTTCTCGCCCACTGCCACCCACTGCGTGTTGTCATCGTGTCTCCTTCATCTCTTAGTCTGGAGCAGTGCCTCCGTCTTCACACGCTACAGGCCGTTCATTTTGTAGAATCTTCCTCAGTTTAGGTTTCTGCGACGTTTCCTCAAGACTGGATGCCGGCTGTGTGTGTGTGTGTGTGTGTGTGTGTGTGTGTGTGTGTTCGTTCCCCAGGAGTGTCGCTTGGAGACTGTCAAGACCCCATTCCTCATCAGACCTTTGCCCACTTGTTCTGATACCTTGGACTATGGTAGAGATTGTGAAACTTTACTTTAGAGTAAGTCTGTGTTTACAGAAAGTCTGCGGTGGTGGTGCGGTGTGTCTGTCCCTGGCGCCCCCATTGTTAGGCATCTTAACGCCAGGGTGCGTTCGTCAACACTAAGAAACCGACGCCGGACATTACTGTCAACCACACTCCCAGACTAGTTTTGGATGTTATTGGTTTTTCCATTAATGCCCTCTTTCTGTTCTCTCTCTCTCTCTCTCTCTCTCTGTCTTTCTATCTATCTGATAGGTGCATATAGATATAGATATATAGATAAACAGATAAACCCAAGAGTTTTTACCAAGACCTCTAATTCCCACCCAGCACCACGGGGTTTGTCCTAGTTTTCGTTCCTCCCGTGTTTGTGGCTCCCTTCTCTGACAGTGCGATCCTCACTCCCACTGTCCTTAATGTATGTCCTGTCCGGGTCAGCTCCCGTGCACGGGACCGGCTCCCACGGCCGCCGCGGCCCTCCCAGGCCCTCCTTACCCCATCAGGCTCTGACACGCACATTTTTAAGGCTTCCGATGCAGACTCCCAAAGTTCCCTCCAGCGAGCCTAGATACTCACTCCACACCCCACTCCTGACAGGAGAGCGAGTGCCTGTGCCCCTGCTGTCCCACCAACAGTGAGCGGTGCGTCTTCTTTCCCCATCTTTGCCCATCTGAACTGGAGAAAAGCCTTTTCTCCAAGTTAAGAAAAGAGCTGTCCTCATTCATTTCACAGTGATTGTGTCTTTTGTGAAGTCATCGTTTAGTTGCCTTCTGATTCTCCAGTTCTGAGATTTGGCATTTCTCTTTTTCCCTGCTAAATAAATTAAATGTGTGGTTTCAAATCAACAGCCACTGTTTGCCAGCTTAGCACAGGGATGCCATGAGACCTTTGGTGGGCGTCGGCATGGACGTATGGAGGTTTGGGCAGGTCGGAGACGACTTGGGCAGACAGAGGGGCACTCCCACTTATCACGTGGGCAGGGAGATGACGCTGCCCTCTCCGAAAGGTGCTAGGAGCCCAGTTGCTACTGGGACACTGACTTTTTCCCTCTGGTCCCTCCCAGGTCTACATCCGTACGCCTTCCGGTGAGGTGCAGACAGTCCTAGTCCAGGACAGCAGCCCCCCAGCAGCAGCTGCGGCCACCTCTGCCACCACTTGTAACAGCCCTGCGTCCCGAGCTTCCCATCCGAGCGGGGCCAGCAAAAAACACTCAGCAGCAATTCTCCGGAAAGAGCGTCCCCTGCCAAAGATCGCCCCTGCCGGGAGCATCATCAGCCTGAGTGCAGCCCAGCTGGCGGCGGCAGCTCAGGCCATGCACACCATCAACATCAACGGTGTCCAGGTCCAGGGCGTACCCGTCACCATCACCAACACCGGCGGTGAGAGAAGGCCCCGGGCCAGGGTGTGGGGGGTGTGCCTGCACACTCCTCACGTGGGAACTGCGGGCCAGCCCCGTGCTGCCCAGTAACACGGCGAGGGTACTGCCTAGCGCTTGCCTCATCCCTGCCAGCTTTAAAGCATGTCCACTTGGCCCGTAGGGTAGCCCTGCGAGACAGTTTAAGGTGTATGTTGACTGGCATGGCTCAGTGGGTTGGGCATCACCCAGCGAACCAAAGGGTCACAGGTTCGATCCCCAGTCAGGGCACATGTCTGGGTTGCGGACAAGGCCCCCAGCTGGGTGCATGTGAGAGGTAACCTATCATTGTTTCTCTCATAAGTTGATGTTTCTCTCCTTCCCTTCCCCTCTCTCTAAAAATAAATGAACACAATCTTTTTTTTTAGATTTTATTTATTTATTTTTAGAGAGGGAAGGGAGGGAGAAGGAGAGAGAGAGAGAAACATCAATGTGTGGTTGCTGGAGGTCATGGCCTACAACCCAGGCATGTACCCTGACTGGGAATTGAACCTGCGACACTTTGGTTCGCAGCCTGTGCTCAATCCACTGAGCTACGCCAGCCAGGACTAAAGAATACAATCTTAAAAAAAAAAAAGGATGTATGTTGGCCCCCTCTGACAGTAGAAGACCTTGAATATGGTAGAGAAAATAAGATATACTCAGGAAAAGTCTCCAGCTGACATGCAACTGCACGTTAGTTTGGTCCAGACCATAGACGGATGTTCCAGGGAGGCCCTGGGTGAAGGAACTCGGAGGAAGGCCCCCGGGATGAGGACAGCCCGAGTCAAGGCTGGAAAGAAGGGAGGGAGCCTTTGGCAGCAAGAGTGGCTTGTGCTCCACTTTAGCTGAGTGGGAATATTTGGTAACACTTAAGGGCATGAAAGCAGCCGTGCAGATCATCAAGGGAATGTTGTAGCTGCCTAGCGAAACGGTTCCCCGCCAAGCCCTCCGCTCGCCGAAGGGCCCCGTCCGGGCGGCAGCGCTTGCACGCTGGCAGGGGGTCAGCGGCACTCCCAGCTCTGACAGGCGTTATGCAAGTCCTAGGGGACTTGATTTTTCCCAGAGCCCTTAGAACTGTTCTCTCACTCCTGTTAACAAAAATCCCTGGAGACCGCTGAGAGCAGAGCTGCTGTCTCACAAGGCCCTAGGGCTGGAGGACATTCTGTAAGAAACGCTCCTCGAGACAGCCCGAGACAAGACCCTTCCAGTTCAAATGCGTGGGCGGCGTCTGAAAGCCGACCCGGCCGGTGGGGTGAAGTGCAGCGCACTGCCTCTGAGGCTCGGGTCTGAGCTCTGCCACTTACGGGCTGTGCGACCTCGACAGGGTATTGAGCCTCAGTTTCTTCAGCAGCGAGAGGAGGATGATAGCACCTGTCTCACAGGGTTACGGAGGTGGAAGGAGTTTCAGGCCTCCCAAATGGCACTCGGCATGTAACAGGCTCTCGAATGGTCACCCTTGTGACGTGCAGAAGGGAAGGAGGGCATCAGGCCCCTGCTCTGCCCCATCAGGCCTCTCACTGCAGACCACGCCCCCCGGCTCCCCACAGGGCAGCAGCAGCTGACGGTGCAGAACGTGTCCGGGAACAACCTGACCATCAGCGGGCTGAGCCCCACCCAGATCCAGCTGCAGATGGAGCAGGCCCTGTCTGGAGAGGCCCAGCCCGGGGAGAAGCGGCGCCGCATGGCCTGCACGTGTCCCAACTGCAAGGATGGGGACAAGAGGTAACTGGAGCCAGACCGGCAGCCTGGCACGCGCCCCCTTCCCGGGACACAGATCGAGAGCAGACAAGGCAGCGGCCCCATGCCGCCGGCCACTGGCCTCTCCATGCTCTCTGACCTGACCCCACACCCTCTCTGCACCCTGTCCTGCCCCCCTCACTCCTCATCCCCTTCCCTCCACCGCGCCCCCCACGGCCAGGTCTGGAGAGCAGGGCAAGAAGAAGCACGTGTGCCACATCCCCGACTGTGGCAAGACTTTCCGGAAGACGTCCTTGCTGCGGGCCCACGTGCGCCTGCACACTGGCGAGCGGCCCTTCGTCTGCAACTGGTTCTTCTGTGGAAAGAGGTTCACGCGGAGCGACGAACTCCAGCGGCACGCCCGCACCCACACAGGTCTGTCCCCCGCCCGGCAGCACACTCCCACCCAGACAGGGCTCCTCACCCCCCCCCCCCCGGGCAGGTCTGCACCCCCTCGGGTCTGCCCCCAGCCTCTCCCTCCACCCCCCCCCTGCATGGCCCCCCGAGACATCCGGGTTCCGGGGCCTGCCAGGGCGCTGCTGCGCTGAGCCAGAGCCGCAGCCTGTCTTCCAGGGGTCCCAGCCTGCCCGGGGCCGCTTTCCTGCCATTCCTTTGTCTCGGTGTTTCCTTCTTCACAGACCGACCCGTTTGATCATGTGGGACTCTGGGGAGGGCGCTCTGGTCATGCCCGGTTCACAGAGGCTTGGCGAGGGGGCCGGGTCGCGCAGCCAGTGACCCGTGGGGGCGGGTTCGGACGCGGGCCCTCTGGCTCCCAAGTCCGTCCTCTTAATTGCTTCCCCACGCCACCTTTCCTACTATCACTTCCTGAAATCGTGTCACTGTTTTTACTCACTGATGTCGTCACTGTTGTTTTGACATCACAAGCTCGATGTCACGTGTGCTTCTCCTCTTTGGGGGCGGGGACAACGCCCGTGAATGGGCTCTGTGAGTGACGGGCTCCTCCTCTTCCCAGGGGACAAACGCTTCGAGTGTGCCCAGTGTCAGAAGCGCTTCATGAGGAGTGACCACCTCACCAAACATTACAAGACCCACCTGGTTACAAAGAACTTGTAAGGCCCACGGGGGCGGGGAGCCTCGGAGATGCAATCCCCCCGGCGTCCTGCCCGGGCTGCTGGGGGCGAGGAGGCCCGCCGCGGCCCTGGGCCCGCCCTCAGCCCCTCCCCCCTGTTTCGCAGCTGTCCCCCCAGGAAGGGGCTCTGCTGCCCCGTACTCGCCTCCTTCCGAAGCCCCTTGGCTCTGCCCTGGCCCTCCCCTCTCACCAGACCGTGGACACTGGCTATGCCCAATGAGACGTTCTAAACCAGGACGAGTGGGAACCTTTATTTCCAAAGGAAAAACATGAATTTCACTCCGTCGAGGAGCAAAGTGAGCCCCCCACCCCCTGACACTGCCCGAGTCGCATCATTGTGCCATGCCCTCCTCTCCCACACCTCCTTGGCCCCCGGCCACTTCGGGTGCTCCGGGCCCTGCACCCAGGGCACCACGGCATCCACCCACCTCCTGAGGCGCCCGAGAGGCCGCCTGCACTCCACAGGCCCCGGCCCCAGCCCCGCCACGACTCTTCTCCAGCACATTCCAACTTTCTATTTAAAGACAAAGCTGCCCACGGACTCCCTGACCCCTTTTCTATGGAGAACGTTGCCTTATACTCGACTTCAGATAATGAACACTGTGTATTGTGTGTGCTTTAAAGACGTTTTATTTAATTGCTCCCTCCTTCCTGTCCTTGTTACTTGCCTCCCCCATGCCTGCTTTCAGTTTAGGGTTCTGGGGGGCAATGATGAGCATATGGATTTTTTTTCTCACTCTAGCAATCCTCTTTTCTAAATGACACAGCATTTCAACTCGAATTTGAATCCACACCCCGAACCCGCCGCGCTCCCTTCAGCTCCCCCAGCCCTGCTGGCCCGAGCTCTAGTTGTGTACAGTGTATATTGTATAATAGACAATTGTGTCTACTACATGTTTAAAAACATATTGCTTGTTATTTTTGAGGCTTTTAAATTAAACAAAATCCAACTTTATTTTTAGTTGTAACTGCTTGAGGTATGTTTTATGATTGACAGATTTGTTATCCTTTATTAACGATGTACTTTGTTGTTCAGCATTGGGCTGACAAAATTTTTTCTTGCTAATAAATTTAGTTGCCTGAGGCAAAATCTGCATGTTGGCAGTGCAGCTTCCTTTGTCTCTGACCCCAGAGGGCTCGGTGACCCCAGAGGGCTCGGACGGGGGGTTCCGGGGAGGGAGCCCTGGTTTCCCAGAGTGACCTGCCCTGGGACCAAGGCAGGGCCTTGCTCTCCAGACCCGAGAAGGGCCTTGGCGACACCCCCCAGAGCACCCGGGTGGGACCTCCGGGGGACAGGGCCCAGCAGAAGTGGCTCTGCGAGCCAGACCGAAGCAGGCACACGCTGCTTGGACTCAAGTGACAGTGGTGTCCTCCTCACCAGCAGACTACTTCCACTCCACTGTGACCCTGGACAGAGGCTCTGGCCTCAGAGCCTGCTAGCTAGTGAGGAGCACAGAGAGCCAGAGGGGCTCGGCTCGGTAACGTCCAGAAGGCCAAGAAGTTGGGAGAAAAATGAAATTTCGTAAGGGCCGAGATCCCTTCCCAGGGCGGAGTGCCAGGCCAGGAATCCGTCTCTACCGAAGAGATTCTGCTTTTCTTCTGCCCCTCGCCCCAGCGCCGGGGAGAGCAGCGAGCTGATTCCAGCAAGTGCTGCAGACCTGATGTGCAGGTGCAGAGTGTAGGGGGAGCAGGGCCACTCAGGAGGTCAGGGCTGCGCAGCTGCGCAGCGTGAGACGAGCTAGCTCAGTGCCCCGGTGGGGGCCTGAGAGCGTCGGGCTGGAGGGAGAACAGCGTGTGCTCTGCTTACGCCACGATGCCTCTCACTCACCTGGAAGGGCACGCCCAGGGTGGCGTGCTGGACCTGCGCCACAGGGCTCTCTGTGGGCTGTCCATCCCGTTACTCGCTCCTGTGTCACCAGCGGCCTGTGTGTGCAAGCACACAGCTCTTCCTTAAAGCCAGTCCGCTCTCACACCAGCTAAAGACAGAAGAGGGAGATGGATCTCAGACGGGTCACGGATTCTCTGCCCCGGTCGGGTCTTCATTAACAGGCAGGAAGGCCCGAGACCCGTCCTACCCATACGCAGGTCCTTCGGGTGACACCAGACCAACACCTGAGCCTACCCTGGCATAGACGCCTCTTAATGAGCCCATCAGCCCTACATCTCATCGCGGCACCGGCAGCGGGAGGCAGAAGGAGTATTTCTCTCTTCCTCACACGTGGACTGTGCGACTGGAAAACTGCCTTGCGGAGTTCTGAGTTGGGATTGGTGGAGGGAAGGGGAATATTAACAAATTGATCTCTTTCCCCCATATGTTCCCCAATGGCTTTCCTGAGAGCTGATTCCAAGTCATCTGCTTCAACTGCGGAAACCGACCTGACTCCGTGGCCTCCTCTGGAAAGGATGTGGGTGCCGGCCCCCAGGAGGCAGGACTGAGTGCCGACACTTGGGGTTTCCCTCTCCAGTGAGGCGGGTTCAGAGTGAAGCCCGGCCATCTCTGCCTGCCACGGGCCGCCCGAATGACACAGGGGGCAGAGAAGGTATTCTGCCCCGCCCAGGGATGGCATGAGGACAGGATGGAGAGGCCTGGTGGCATATCAGCCCTCATCTGCTGGAACCCATCCCCTAATTGACTTGGCATTGCAGGGGGTGGGGGCTGTGGGTGCGATGCCTCCCAAGCTCACCCAAGGCCAGAGCCCCCTCCCAGGACACCTGATGGGCCCTGGTTGAAATTTGGGGGCAGACTATTCCCAGCAGCTTGAGAGTGTGGGGCCATGCAGCCCGAGTTCCCTCCTCAGGGTCTTCTGCATCAAAGCCACTGCCCTGCCCCTCCCGTCTGCTCGGTGATGCTCAACACAGCAGCTCTTCGACCCCAGATCCCAGGATTACAAGCTGGAAGGAAAAGGGGGCTGGGGAAGTTCCCCTCATACTGAAGGCAAGTCCAGGCAAAGTACCTTTAAAAAAAAAAATCAGCCCTGGCTGGTGTGGCTCAGTGGGTTGAGTGCTGGCCTGCAAACCAAAGGGTCACCAGTTCGATTCCCAGTCAGGACACATGCCTGGGTTGCCGGCCAGATCCCCAGTAGGGGGCACATAAGAGGCAACCACACAGTGATGTTTCTCTCCCTCTCTTTCTCCTTCCTCTCTCTTTAAAAATAAATAAATAAAATCTAAAAAAAAAAACACCCCAAAACAAAAAACAACCCAGCAAACAGAACTTCCTTCAAACCACTCAGTCCATTTTTACAATCACCTTTTGAGGGCACTCTGAGGCCCCACACGAGTATGACGACGGGAGCCACCTGCAGCATCTCAGGTGCTGGGACCCATCAGGGGCTCCTGGCTCGTGGATGTGGCTGTGGCCTACATGGTGTGGGGTCCTGGGGACCTAACCCGGGGTGAGACACTGTCTCAGACCTCTGAGACCCATTATGACCTGACTGAGGTCTTTGGGGCGGGGATAAAGCCACTAAAAGAACTACCGTCATCTCAGGACAGGCAGCAGCTGGGTTTCCTCGGGAAGGGGTCCTCAGGGAGTGGAAGAGGCAGGAAGTGAGTCTGGGAGGATGGAAGAAAGGACAGGGGTGTGGGTGAAAAGAAAGCAGACCGTGGTGGGAAATGGCAGAGAATCGGGGCTGGAGAGGAGAGTCACACACCTGCTTGTTCATGAGGATCCCGGGCAAGAGGAAATGGGAAATGACCACTGGGCAGGCCAAAGGCAAGGACCAACCAGATTTCTCAATAAAACTATGAAGCCGCCAGGTCCTCTCCTTTGGGCCTACCTGGGAACCCGCCATCAGGCCTCCTTCCTCGGCCTGTGGCTCACGCGCTGGCTACCAAGGCAGCCGGTGCCCGGGCTAAGACTGATGCCTTCAGACCTCACTCAGTCTGGGAAAGCTTGACATCCCTCCAACCAACAAGGACACTTGGCCTGGCTCCCACCAGGTGCAAACCACCCCCAAGCCCACTCACGATGCCCAGCACTCGGCTACAGAGAAGCGTAACCCAGCAGTTTATGCATAAACATGACAGATTCACATTTCCTGGCCGGCATGTTGAGAAGGAGCCCTAGAAAGTCCATGATATGGTGGATCCCACAAAGAGGCCTCTAAAGGGGAATGTGTATGAAAAGCACGGGATGTATTTGCAAAGTGACCCGTGAGCACATACATGCAAGGCTCGTGTGAGGGGTCAACCACACAACCACAGGCAGGACGCTCGGGTGAAAGTCAGCCCCCTCTGCATCCATCCCTCTTCTGGGCCCTCTGATAACCGCACTGGGGACTCGGGCATCTGTTGGCAGAGCACCACGTACCCACCCTTCTGTGGGTCCTGAGTTCACCCTGAGGCTGGGCCCGAGAATCCCTGAGCTTTTAGGGGTCCCAGCACATCGACCCCCGGCCTGCCCTCAGCCTCCTGGAAAGCTGGGCGCTGTATACCACCAGCATCGCTCCCGTCCTCCTGGGCCTCTCCCCTCCCTCACCGTCTTCCTGAACTCTCCCAGAAACCTCTGCCTTTCCCAGACACTCTCATCCTCCCTTGTGGCTTCAGGTGCCACTTCGGTGGCTTGTGACACCTACACAGGTCTCATTAGCCCGGACCTCTATCCTAAGCTCCAGACGTGATTATCCTGCCAAACCAAACATGAGTGTCCCATGAACCCTCACATTTCACAGGCCGGGTAGTGACTTCATCCCCGCCCCCCGCCCCACCCCAGACACCCTCCTCCAACATGCCCCACCCCAGTGAACAGCACCACCCATGTCACCTGAGGTCATCCTGGTGAGTCAACCCCCCCTTCTCCACCCACCCATGCACCCAGGCACCAGGGTCCGGCTTCCATTTAGACAACACTCCAGTCCTGACCTCCCTCACTATCCGCTTGGTCACCAGGTCCCAAAACACAACCACTAAGCCACAACTGAACTATAGAGCCCAACCAAACCATTAGACTGAAAGACAGTTCAGTTCCGATGCAAAAGCATCGGAAAGGAACAAGCAAAGCACAGGCTCCAGACCCACCCACAGCCTCTTCCTTTCACGTGGACAAACCAGTGTGCCTTTTTGTGCAATGAACTATTGCAATATATTTTCTGTTCATTTAAGATTCTCTCAAGAAAAGATTAATAAATTTACAAAGCTTGGGGTGGGGGGGAGGGTGGCAAAATATTTAATGAAAAGCAGTAACCATAAAAAGTTCAATTCTCCCACCCAGGCAAAAAAGCCCTTGCTGAGGTTACAGCCGGAGAGGCCCAGCCGACGGGAGTGCCCCCTACCCTTTGTAAAAGCACCACGGGGCTGTTTTGTGATCCAGACACCAAACCCCGCCCGGCCGAAAAGCGCAACACAGCCTACTTATTATTTTCAAGACAAAGGGAAAAATACGAAAAGGCCACCAGTTGCAAGCTTCCTCGCTAACTGCCAAGGATGGGAGAGGCTGTTGGAATCTACTTTTTTTCCCTCAGCTGGCCTTTAGAAAACAGGATTCAGACGCTCGGTTTGGACAGCAGCACAGGATAAAGAAGAATCGTGTAAAAGCCTAACCCGGGCACCCACCTGGCCTGTGACCTCACCTCCCGTTCACGCAGCATCCTACCTCGGTGCCACCTTTCCCCACCGCACCCGCCCTTCGCTCACGCTGTCCCCTCTTCTGGGCATGGCCCTCCCACTGTCCACCTGGCAGACACGTCCTCATCCAGACAAATCAAGTGTCTGCTCCTTTACCAAAGCGTCCCTGACTGCTGGAACCCCAGACCACTTCCTCTTTCTTGCTCCCCATTTCTTCACAGAAGCACCGGTAACTCTTTGGCTTACAGATCTGTGTGCCCCCAACAGGCTACAAATCCCCGTGGGCGGGAACCCTGCCATCTTCCTCTGAGTATGCTCAGACCTAGCTCAGTACCGGGCCCAAAAGAAGTCTTTTTTTTTTTTTTAATTTATTTTAAGGTAGGTGTTACCAATTCTTTTTTTTAAATATTTTATTTATTTTTAGAGAGGGAAGGGAGGGAGAGAGAGAGGGAGAGAGAGAAACATCAATGTGCGGTTGCTGGGGGCTATGGCCTGCAACCCAGGAATGTACCCTGGCTGGGAATCGAACCTGGGACACTTTGGTTCCCAGCCCGCGCTCAATCCACTGAGCTATGCCAGCCAGGGCCCAAAAGAAGTCTTTAACAAATGTCAACTGAATGAATAAATATCTACACAGCGGACCCTTGAACAATATTGCTTTGAACTGCATGGGTCCACTTATACACAGATTGTTTTCTCAATACTGTTTATGTGTTTTCTCTTCCTTATTTATGCTTTTCTCCATAAAATTTTCTTTTACTTTTTTCATGTAACATATAAAATTTGAGGGGAAGCCCCCTCCAAAAACTGGAATTATCTTCTGGAGGGCAGGCCCCTTGTAGTACAGGTTTCCCCCACTAAGGGGTGTTATAGGAACCCCTCTGTATCAGTGTACCAGCTGGCATTGTTGTGAGAGGCTGCGTTCAGCTTCAATGAATTTTTTTTGAAGACTCTTTCAATGAGGTTGCCTATTTCATGATGGCTGATTTATGAGCACACGTGCCCACACCGCATTGAGTGTTCAGCATTTTTTGACCAAAACTGGCATTACTCCCTGTGTCCCACCTCCCAATCTTGCCCTGGGTGACTTTTGTTTCCCCATATGAAAAAAGTCAACAAAGGGAAATGTTTTGCCGATGTGGAAGAAGTGAAACAAAAACAGCAGAAGCCTAAAAGCCATCAGTTCAAAAACTGTTTTGAGCAGGGGAAAAAAAGTCTCGACAGGCGGATTGCATCAAATGGAGCTTACTCTGAAGGCAACTGACACTTAAAACATGTGAGAATAAATACCCAATTTTTTATAAATAAATTCTGGAGTTTTTTTTTTGGTCCCTCCTCGTATGTGGCAATCAACTGTTTATGTTATTGGTAAAGCTTCTGGTCAAGAGTAGGCTACTTACTCGTAGTTAATTTTTGAGGGAGTCAAAAGTCATATGGGAATTTTCAACTGGGGAGGGGTCAGCAGCTCTAACCCTTGCGTTGTTCAAGGGTCAACTGTACTAAACTCTTGGCTTTTGAGCAAACCACTCAAACGGTCCTTGTCTTGGCGCCCTGGGATCCTGGACCTAGGGTAGCCCAGCCCAGGAGTGCTAAGAGTACTGACCCATGAGCAAAACTATCTGCATCGAAGGGCACTGATGACTACATACACAGATTTAAGTGCAGGTGCTTGGAGGGAGGGGAGGACAGTAACGTTCATTTGTGGGAAGACAACCTCAACAAGAAAGAAAGTCCAGTCAACTCTCTCAGTCACGTTGATGGAGGAAATCAATGCACCAAACAATTCCAACCAGTAGAGAATCCATAGATCACCCTTATTAAGCCCTGAGACATGTATTATTTCTTTGCAGAAATGTGTCATCCAGACTCTATTTGGCACAGGCTCTGTGCACATGATAAAGGGTGATAGGGACCTAATGTAGTGCCTTAGGAAGCTTAGCAATAATGCAGACACCTGGGCAAAGCAGGCAGTTCCCTTACCTGACACAGTCCTGAGGTGCCTGCCTAGACGGCTCTTGCAGCTCGCCTTTCTGATGACGGTGGAAACCAGGACTACAGAGAGGCCCTGACCCATGGCTGCCCCGGCCAGATAAAAGCTGGAATGGGCACTTACAGGTTTCCCATGTCTCAGCCCTGCATCTGACATCCTGGAAATGGCTTTGCACAGCCACTTACTCTCCTATGCCCTCAGCTATGGTTGGCGTTGACCAAGGTACCAGACCCCAGCTGTCTGGGAACAGCAAAATGTGAAAAAGGGGAAACTCAACCCTGTCTGGTGTCGCTCAGTGGACTGAGCACAGGCCTGCGAACCAAAGGGTTGCCAGTTCAATTCCCAGTCAGGGTACATGCCTGGGTTGCTGGCCAGGTCCCCAGTAGGGGGCATACTTGAGGCAACCACACATTTATGTTTCTCTCCCTTTCTCTCTCCCTTCCCCTCTTTCTAAAAGTAAGTAAATTAAAATCTTAAAAAAAAAAAAAAAAGGCAGTGGGAACCCAGCAAACAGGAGGAAGGCCCAGGAGAGGTGGGGCAGTGGCCACCTTCCCACCTACCTGAACACTGACTAGTCTGCTGCACCAGGAGAGGGGAAGCCATGAGCATGCTCTGGTCTGAGGTGAAAGAAACGAGGCTGGAGAGAGGGGGGTTCAGAGCTGGAAGAGGAATATGGCCCTGGTCTGGGAATAGCTTGATTGTAAATTTCCTCCTTGTCCTTTCCCATTCATCTGTCTTCCTCCTCACCCCACAGTCTCTTTCTAACCCCACTGCACCTACCCAAGCCCCAGAGTTGCGCCCCCCCGCCCCCCCCCAAAAAAAAACAACAACCCACATACACACTACTACACAGCGCCTTTTTGGAAGGATCACAAGTCACTTCAACCTCTCCCGCTCTGAAGCACCGATTTCTTCCCCTCACCCAGATGGCCCCTTTCTCTATGTCCCCTTGCCTCAGGGTGCGGCCCCTAATTCCATTTTCCATTTGTCTTTCCCAGGCCACCAGCCTCCCATCTAGGGAGTACTTCCTGCACTGGGCTCGCTTTTAGGCACCTACCAGGGGCCAGCCGCTTAACACTGATCACTACCTCCAAGCTCCTAGCGGCTCATCCCCCGACCCCAGCTAGGGTAGCAGCAGTCCCTATATCTTTAACAAACCTCCACGTGCGTATTAACGGCGGTGACAGAATTTCCTTGTCTCCCTGCTCCCTCCCCCAGAGGCGCCACCCATTGGCCGCTGGGCTCCTCTATTCTCGCTGTAATTGGCCTCGCTCTGGAAAACTGAGACCAATGCTCTTCCAGCGCCAGTATCCCTCCTCCAACCCTGGGCTCCCATTGGCTCCGAGGATTTAGGGGGACCTAGGCTTGGCGACTGACAAATTCTGCCTTTCCCCGGGTAGACTTCGGACTGAGAAACTGGCTCCGAACACAACCGAACCCGGCGCCAGGCGACGCCGGGTCACGTGGCTGATGGCCCCGTGATGTGCAGGCTGCGGGCGTCACGGTGACGTTCGGGCGATCGGCCAAGTGTCCCCACTACCTTCGTCCCCTGTGCATCCGTGGAACTATCATGGACCTGGGACCGATGCGCAAGAGTTACCGCGGGGACCGAGAGGTGTCGTCTCTGGGCAGGGTCTCCGCAGGGGCGGGGAGTCGCAAGTCGTTTGAGGAGAGGAGGGGGAGTGGGAGGAACTCCACGGGGTTTATGCGGCCACCCCATGGGGCGAGGGGGCTTGGGGTTATCCTTGTGGGACAAGGGCGTTCAAAGACGACCGACGTGGGAGGCGTTCTGGGGAAACCGGGACGAAGATGGGCTCAAGGGGCAGCTTGTGCTGGCGGATAAAGGCACGGTCTCCCGGCTCCGCGGCTTTAATCCTGTCGTTCACGGGGTGCGTCCCCTCGGGCAGAGTACTTAACCTTTCTGGCCTCAGTTTCCTCACCTGTGAAGTGATGGTGCCTACCTCACAAGAATGTGATGAACTCAGACGTTCATAAAGCGCTTAGAACGGGGACAATCAGCATATAAATGTTTGTTAAGTAAAAGCGAGGGGGAGGGGGACTAACGCACGGAGGAGGCAGGAGAGCGCTACCAGCTCTTTTTCCCTCCTCTGGAGAGGAACCAAGAGACCTGTTTCAGAATGAGGCCCAAAGCACTTCCAGACATTATTTTTTTATCTTAATTTTTTATTGATTGATTTTAGAAAGAGTGAGGAAGGGGGAGAGAAGGAGAAAGAGGGAGAGATTGAGAGACACACCGGTTTGCTGTTCCCCGTATTTATGCATCCATTTGTTGGTTCTTGTATGTGCCCTGACTGGGGGGAGGGGGGGTGGTCCGGCCACCTTGACTCATTAGGACAACGCTGTAACCAAGTGAACCACCTGGAGGAAGCATTTCCAGAAATTCTTGTTAAACACGTGGTTTTCCGTTAAACCTTAGACCCACTGAATGAGAATTTACAAGGGCTGAGCCCAGAATTAGTCTTTTTCTTCTTTGTTTGTTAAGGCTTTCCAAGTGATATGTTTGACACCCATGACATGAAACCTTGATTCGTCACCCCCCACTAGCCAGGGGACCCAGCAGGTTATTCCACCTTCTTGTCCCCACGTCCCCACCTGCAATATGGGGCCAACACAACCCCTTGCCGGGTCGTTTTTTGTGAAGAGGTCATCGTTACGAGGACTGAATGCGTTAACATTTGGGCTGTGCCTGGAATAGTTCTACACACACAGTAAGCAATATAGGTGTTGTATTTGTTAAATGAAATAAAACTCTCCCTTCCCAGGCATTTGAGGAGGCTCATCTGACCTCTCTGGACCCCGTGAAGCAGTTTGCTGCCTGGTTCGAAGAGGCCGTCCAGTGTCCTGACATAGGGGAAGCCAACGCCATGTGTCTGGCTACCTGTACCAGGTGGGCACAGCTGTGGGCCCTTCCACGAGTGGGTACAGAGGAAGGAGGACACTAAGGAAGCTCTCAGTTGGATGGATGACAATTTTATGGTTCTAGCTCTTTTATTAACGTGCTGTGTGGCGGCAGGAAAGTGACTTGTCCTCTCTGGGCCTCAGTGTCCCGACCTGTAAACCAAAGATCATACTGCACTGAATTCCATTTCAGTGATGAAATGCAGTGCCTCATTCATCTCTGCCTTTGACACAACCCCCCCACCCCACCCACGCCCCCGCTGTACATCCTTGCCTCCCTCATCTCCCCACCTACCCTGTTCCCAGCTGCCATTTAAGAGCTGTGTCTCCCGGGGCCTCTCCGTGAAGCTCTCTCTCTGGAAATGTAGACAATGCCTGGCGGTATCATTCACTTGATAATCAGTCATGGAGACATCTCTCAGATTAGCCTCTTATCCAGCCCTTCTTGTCCCCCCTCCCCTCACTAAAATGGGGGGCCTGGAAGGCAGGGCTCTGGTGCTGTGCCCTGGGTGTCCCCTAGAGCCCCGGGCAGGGGATCTGATATAACCACACCTTCCATGATCCCTAAGCACCAGCTGATCGCATTATTGCTTGTGGTTGCCCTTAGAGCCTCTCCACTTTGCTAGGGCTGCCACAGCAAAATACCACGGCCAGGGTGCCTACAACAACTGAAATTTATTTTCTCGCAGCCCTGGAAACTAGAAGTCCAAGATTAAGGTGCTGTCAGAGTTGGTCAGTAAGGCCTGTCCTCATGGCTTGCAGGTGGCTGCCTTTTCGCCGGGTCCTCACGTGGCCTTCCTTTTGTGCCTGCAGGGAGCGCCAGGGAGAGGTCTTTGGTGTCTCTTCCTCCAGTAGGGACACCAGTCCTTTTGGATTAGAGTCCCACCCTTATGACCTTGTTTAACCTTACTTCTCGGAAGTCCCTAATCTCCAAATACTCACACTGGGGGGTTAGGGCTTCAACATAGGATCGTAGGGGGACACAGTTCCGGCCCTAACAGGGCCCTGGGCAGCAGTGTCATACTGTTGGTCCAGGACAAATCCCCAGGGGCATGTGGGGGTGGGTGGCCTGAGTGCCCAGACAGTGCAGAGTAAGGGGACGCAGACGGAGGGCTGCTCAGTCACCCTGTGGGGCGGGGCAGCAGCGAGGACATTGAAACAGGCTCTGACCGTGGCGCCGTGCTCTTCGTCCCAGAGATGGGAAGCCCTCCGCCCGCATGGTGCTGCTGAAGGGCTTCGGCAAGGACGGCTTCCGCTTCTTCACTAACTCCGAGAGCCGCAAGGGAAAAGAGCTGGTGAGGGTTCACGGTAAATCCTCAGCGCTGCAGAGTCCAGCGCTGCCTCACTGGTCACCTTCTCGTGCCACCCCCACCCCACCCACTTGCGACCTGTGCTCACGCACCACCCAGTCTGCGGGCCCCTGCCCTCGCCGTTCTCCTTGCCGTGCGTGTGAGCGCTCTCTCCCCGCACCCCCAGCTCTGCCGTCTATTCACCCGCGTCACTCCTGTCCCTCCGGTCTCAGCCCCAATGTCGCCTCCTCGACTGCTACACTGAGTCAGCCGCTCCTGCTTTTGCTATCGTTGTAACTAGCCACTTCCCTGCCCTTTTTTCGGTTTCTAAGTGTGCATTCCTCTAATCACGTGACTAGCGTTTGTGTCCTCGGTTAAGTGGTAAGCTCTGCGGCGGCAGAGCCTGCATCTGTTGTATCTGCTACACCCCCAGGACCTCTTCTGGCGTGGAGTAGAGAGCTGGCACTTCATGGACATACGATTCATAAATCCAAATGAGTCACCCTCCCTGAGTCCCTGCCTGCCAAACGTGCGCTTCTCAGAACTTGCAAATCTGTGGGTTTGAGAAGTGGCAAGCATCACTTTGGAGTCCAGCTGGCTTACGTTTCCAGCACAGACCTGCCACTTGCTGTGTGAACTTGGGCATGTTACTTAGCCCCTCCGTGCCTGTTTCCACAGCTGTAAAAGTAGGCCCGCCTGTGAGGGTTTAAATGAGATGTTACACGGAGTGCGTCACCTGTGAACCCGCACGCTGCAGACTCCCCGCCTTCCCCCTGCACGCTGCAGACTCCCCGCCTTCCCCCTGCACGCTGCAGACTCCCCGCCTTCCCCCTGCATGCCAGAGGCGTCCTCCCCACCATCCTGATTGCTGTCTGCGGATTCCCTTCCTTTCCAGGACTCTAATCCCTTCGCTTCCCTTGTCTTCTACTGGGAGCCCCTAAACCGGCAGGTGAGTGAACACGCCCAGGACAGCCGGGGCAGGGGGACTGCATTGGGAGGGGCCTGAGTTTATATATGAGCTCAGTGGAAGTCCCCGGGCTGGGCAAATATCCTGCCTCTCAAATAACACTCAGTTAGCTGTTCTAGTCCAAGCCCACAGTGGTGGGGCCGTGGGGCCTGTGCTGGTGGGGAGGGGGGGCGGCCCCGAATGCCATGCGGCCGGGGCCATCCCTGAGCAGGTCCGTGTGGAGGGCCCTGTGAAGAAGCTGCCCGAGGAGGAGGCCACAAGCTACTTCCGCTCCCGCCCCAAGAGCAGCCAGATTGGGGCTGTGGTCAGTCACCAGAGTTCCGTGATCCCCGATCGGGAGGTGAGTGGGGCTCCCCCTTAGTCGTCCGGGGGGGCACGGCGAGGGCCCGGGCTTGTCCCCAGCGGTTGTGTCCCAGGGAGGAGGCCGGGGCCTGCCCTCTCCCGCCAAGTGGGAAGGATGGTCTCCCCGGGGGAGCGGGGCGGGAGGGGACCGGAGTGGCGAGAGGCGGGCCTCCTCTGTCTGTCTGACCCCCCCCCCCCACCGTCGGACTGTGTTCCTGGAGAACAGGCCAGCCCGCCTCGCTCACGTGTGTCCCCAGCACCTGGCACAGAGCACAGGCTCGGTGGGTGGTCACTAAATGCATCATTGACCGGGTCTGGCCCTTCCTCCGTCTGCTTCCCCCGGACAGTATCTGAGAAAGAAGAACGAGGAGCTGGAGAAGCTCTACCAGGAGCAGGAGGTGCCAAAGCCCACATACTGGTGAGCGATGCCGGCCATCACGTAGGAAGGGACCCCAGGACCCCTGTGTTTACTTGGAGCCACCCTGCCTGTGGAGTTACGGATCTGTTCCTCCCCGTCAACCCTCATCAGACACATCCCAGCAACCTCTTCGGGGGGCCCCGGGGGGGGGCGGTAATATGGCTGAGAAAAATGCACAGAGCCCCAAAACCTCTGCTTCTCTTTGTAGGGGTGGCTACGTCCTGGACCCACAGGTGATAGAATTCTGGCAAGGCCAGACCAACCGCCTGCACGACCGGATTGTCTTTCGGCGGAGCCTCCCGACAGGAGACGACTCCTTGGGGCCCATGACCCACCGCGGGGAGGGGGGCTGGCTCTACGAGAGGCTTGCTCCCTGACACCCGGGCTGCGTGCGGCGCCCACTGGGGCCGGCCGGGCGCTGAGGGAGGGTGTGGGGTTGGGAGCCAGGCCCTTCTGAAGCCAACGTATTTCCCTCCCACTCCTTGTCTCCAGGGCTCTTCAGAGTTTACCCTTCAAGCACCCTGTACCTACCTGGCTCCTAATCAGCTGTCTGATGGAGGGTGACGGAGGCACAGAGGGTCACAAACGGAAATAACCCCACAATGATTTTCTTGATTTTAACAATCATTGATTGGTGTAGCTCTCTCTAGAGCAGGGGTGCCCAGCCTTTTGGCCTCTCTCCACCACACTGGAAGAAGAGTTGTTGTCTTGGGCCAAACATTAAATACATTGTGACACGTAATCACAAAAAAATCTCACAGTGTTTTAAGTAAATGTACGATGTTGTGTTGGGCCGCATTCGCAGCCATCCTGGGCTGCATGCGGCCCGTGGGCCGCAGTTTGAACGCCCTTGCTAGAGGTAGCAGCGGATGGGATTCCCTCTGCTGGCAGCTGGGTGGGTCCCCAGCAGCCCCGACTTAGCACTGTGACTGAGCCATTCCAGCCAAAGCTGACTGGTGCCAGCATAAGCCCCTGAGCTGACCTAGCCCTTCAGTGTTTCTTGTCAACTGTTGGATATTGGAAATGGAGTGGCCCGGAGCATGGCGCGTCATTGTAGCCAAGTCACTAGTGGCCGCCAAGGAGCATTAGGCCCTGGCTGCTGCTCTCGCCGCTCCCTTAGCGACCCTGGGTCCCCCCTCCCATGCCCGGGCTGTGCAGGGCCTCCTCCTGCCTCGAACACCCACTGTCTCCAAAAAAAAAATTCTTCTGTTTACATAAACTAGCTGGATCGATTTCTGTTGATTGCAAATAAAAGAACCTTAACTTATTTATTAATAGATATTCAATCTTTTATAGTACTGACCCTAGTGATAGCTGCTTTTTGTTGTCTGAAGCACAGTGACATGGAAAAAGGTTACACTTATTCTCTGTAGCTCCAAAGGACCCAAAGGTGACTATCACCCAGAAATCGATTTCATCTCAATACGGGGAGAGACTTCGAGAGGGGGTGTGTAGTGAGCATTCGGTAGTGAGTGTGCTGTTACTGGAAGTATTCAACTGCAGTTAGGAGTTTTGCAGGAAGGATTCCTGTGCTGGTGCCTACAGACCAGGGAGATTTTAATCAAGCTTTACTTTCTATGTTTTTTTATGAACAGCATTGATTGATTTTAACTTCCAGGTATCAAACTAATTACAGAGATTATGCCTTCGTGACTACCCCGACATCCCCTCCCCCTGCTCCTCCTGTCTCTGGTTGTCATCTACACTGGAAGTGCCCAGGGAGAGTGGGGGGCTTTAAAAATCCTGATGATGCCTAGATCCTCCCGTTAGCGAAGATTTCTGAGTGCAGCCGGGTCTCTGGGAAATTTAAAGGCTCCCCAGAGCACTCTGCAGCCAAGGTTTTACCCCCTGGTCTGGATCCTTGTGTGGTGGGCAGGACGCAGACAGCACTGGCATCATCAGGAGCCCCCTTGAATCCCATCCTGCATTTAGCACGACCCCCCAGGGCGACTGCTGCCCTGGCCTCAACCTCTAAACCTACTGCCTGTCCTCCCGCCCACCCCCCCACACCCGTTGGGGTCTTCAACAACGCTGGGCCGAGTCCTGTGTTGAACTGTACTTGCCTTCCTTGAGCACACGTCTGGTGACCAGGGACATCCCGGATGAGTGGCCTATGGGCTGTGGAGAAAAGCCAGGCTGGGTAAATGTTTGCTGTGACTAAGTCAGGATAAGAGAACTATTATTTGCACACATTGGCGTTGAACTTACCACTCTGTAAACGGCTCCATTCCCACTGTGGGCGTGCACCTCGGCATCTCTGTGGTTGACCAGCCCCCCAAGGGCCTCCCTCTCCGTGTTGATTCCCCGCTAAGCCTGAGTGCAGGAAGACTCAACGGCTAACCTTCCTAAGGCCCACAGAAGAGGGTGTCGGGGTGTCCTTGCCCACCTTGTCCTGTTCGTGTTATGGGGAGCTGTGTACCCTCCCCCCAGTTGTGAGCCTGGTCTCAGCAGTTCCTTTCCTGTTCTCTGTCCGGTACTCACTTTGCCAAATCTGTAATAAAAGCTCATCAGCTGTGTGTGCTGTAAATGTTCAATCTGGCCGGGTCTCGCCGGGAACCCTGGGAAGGAGGGGATTTAAGCAACGCCACACTTCTCCTCTCCTGGGAGGTGGGGCGTCCAGCAGGGGGAGCCCGCTGCCCGAGGTTGGCCCCTTCTGGGCAGCGCAGGCCAGTCCATTCGGCCCCTCCTGCCTCCCCCTCCCCCTCCCCCTTGGGTTGAGTCCCAGTGAAACTGTGGTCGATAACCCATAGCCTCTCCCTGGCTCCTGCGCATATTTGCACTTTCGGTTCCTCCTTCTCCAGCCTGGTGAAAACACACTGCTCCCTGGGCTCTGACCCTCTGGGCAGGCAGACCTCCCTCTGGCCTTTCCTACCCATCCACTGATACCCAGCTTCGGGGGGGATGTGCAGCCTCCCTGGGTTTTCCTGCAGCCCTCACTGTGGGGCCGTGGAGCATGGTCGCATGCACGGGGCGGAGGGGTGCGCAGACCCTCTCACCTGAGAGAGGACTGGTGGCAGTGTGGCGCCGGCATTAGGTCCCTATAGGCCGCAGCAGGATCCGTGGCCCAGGGCCCAGCCCCATCCCCCATCCTCGTGTCAGGGAAGCTCGGGGCAGGCTAGAGCGGGAGGTCCCTACCATCGGGGTCTCAGGGCACGCTCAGCCTCCAAGCTGGGTGGCTTCCCCTGGTTGGTCCCAGTCTGTACAGCACCCTCAGAAGGTGCTCACCCCCCAGAGCCCCGGGGTTCAGGCCTTGCCCTCTCTCACCCCACCTCCCCTTCAGCAGAAGGTGACCACGTTCCTGTCTTTGTCCAGAGCCTGAGTTTCCCACCCCCTAAGCAGAAGAAAATCGAGAGTGGAAGGGGCCGTGTGGCTCAGTGGTCACAGGCTCAGGCCAGGTCTGCCTTCAGTCCCAGCTCCTCCCTGGCTGCGAGGGCAGGCCCTCAGGTGAGTGACTCAGCCTCTCTGAGCCTCAGCTAACTCGCCTGGAAACTGGGAGTAATTCATGATAGCCCCTGGCTCGCGGGATGAGAGGATTAGATAAGGAACCCTGGGGAGTCCTGGCCACCGGGCCTGGGTCAGGTACGAACCCTGGGCGGGGCTGGAGTAGGGGAGAGTCTGCTCCTCCCCACGTGGGAGGCCTTACGGACTGATGATTGAGGAGACCCTAGGAAGCTCCAGGGGATGAGGAGGGGTAAGGGCAGAAGGGTCCTCCTTCCCTCCCTCCAGCTCCTGGTCGCCCTCACTCATCCCCACCACTCCCCTGCCCTGAGTGAGGCCACCTGACAAAGGCCCCTTGTGCGGTCTGTTTGTTTGGCTAATACATTTCCCGGGAAAGCTCCTTGGGGTGCGGGTGGCCCGGCAGCCTACAGGGAGTGACCTGGAAGCTGCTGGACCACATTGTTTAGTCTGGTCTCCACCTCGGTCTCTCCCTCCGTGTTCCCAGTACAAGCTCCAGTGATCTGCCCGTTTTTTTCCCAGTTCCCAGCTTCTGGGGCTTGAGAAAGATCTAGACCCGACAGACAGCGTAAGGAGTGTGGTCTCTCCTCTTCCTTAAATGGGAGCTGTGGGCTGGGGTGCAGTTCCTTGGTACAGGGAAGGGGGGAGGGAGCCCACGGTCACTGAGCCCCTGCCACGGGACTACTCGCGGCGCTGCACTCTGGCAGCTCCCCGTGGAATCGGTGTCATCACAGCCCCCTTTATAGAGGGCAAAGCTGAGGCTCAGAGTTGTTTGTTTGTTTGTTTTCCCAAATCACCCAGCTACTAAGGGGTGGAACCAGAATTTGCATCTCGATCCCAAACCAAACCGTGGCGACTCGGGGGCCAGTCACTGAAGGTCTGCTCCATTCTCTGGGCTCCCCCGATGGCCTGTCTGTTGACCAGAAGAACTGACCCCTGAGGCGTCACAACCTCCTTCCTCTGTTCTCTCTGTCCCCAGATGCTGAGGGTGCCCAACGGTGAGATCAGTGTCCCAGTTACTCCACTCAGACACCTGGGGACCTTCTCTGAAGTTGGAAAGGAATAGTTTAAGCACCAACTTCCAATGGACTTACATGAAGGGAGATAAAGGCATGAGAAACAGTTAGTGAATGCAAAGCAGGCATAAAAAGCGTATAAATAGGTTCTCTGCTTTTGCAGCATTGTTTATTACAAAGAGAGAAACCTACAATTATTTTTTTAAACAAAATTCAAGGCTTCGGGATTCATGGCTGGGGCCGATCGTCTTAAATACAAGGAGGGGAGAGAACTGGCTGCTTTCGGCTCCCACCAGGGCCTCCTCACCCCTCCGCTAATCTGGGCCCGTGGGGTCCCTAACCTGGCCTTCTACAGCCCCCCCACCCAGGGCGTGCCAGGGTCCGCCTCCCCCTGCAAGAACTAGAGTCAAGGTTCCAGCAAGTCTCCCACACGCGTGAGGAGGTGAGCTCAAGTTCAGGAGACCTCTGGTTCCTGGAATCAACCCCCCGTCACGTGGCCTCTGGGAAACGCACTCTCAGAATGGGCCCAGGGAACAGTCATGGGTAGAGAAAGCAGAGGGAGCGGCTTTCTCTACTCACCCTCGACCCCGTGCCCTGGGAGGAAGTGAAGTCGGACGGGCTCCCTCTGTCCATTCCGTGGCCTCCTCCCTGCCCGCCCCCGATGTGGCTTCAAGGAAGACTGTCCTTCCCAGGTGGAACCTGTCATCCTTGAACTGGAGTGCCTTTGTGTGTGGTGGGGGGACAGTGGGAGGACCCTGGGATCTCCCAGGCTTTCCAGAGAGCTGAGGCACATGAATACAAACCTAAAACCACACGTTTCCTGCCCGCAGGCACAGCTGCCCCCACGGCTCCAGCTGCGGCCACAGAGGCCAGCGTGGCAAGCTCCTGTCGGTGCGCCTGGCGGCAGGGAGCAGGGAGGTGCTAGCATCCTCCACGGCCCCCTTCACTGTCCCTTACCCTCCCTGTCATCGAAGAGGTTGGGGTTCTCCGCCAGGGTGGCTCGAACTTTTTTCTTCTCCTTGAAGCGGCCGGAATTGGAGACCTTGACATGCTTGCCCTTTGTGCTCTTGTCCACAATCTTCTCCAGGCGGGTGTTAAAGTCATGGTTGGGGTCCGTGCCCTCGGGCCGCGGGGGCTCCGCGCCGCCCTCCGTCTGGGCGTAGGTGTCCGGGATCTCATACAGCACCTTGGGGGTGGATTTCTTTTTCCGGAGGAAGGTCAGCTTCCACCAACCAACTTCGGTCATGGCGCTCCCTGAGTGGAGGGGGGGCTTTCTGCAGGAGCAGGGGGTTGGGGGAGAGAAAGGGGTCAGTGGGGAGCAAGAGAGGAGGGCCTTGGAGCCGCCCTGTCTAGACCCCTAGCCACAGGCTATTTGAAGAGCCCAGGCCTAAAAGAATTAAAGGAGGGGCAGAGCGAGCCTAGGATTCAGGTCAGCGACGCAATGCGCAATGCGTTTGGAGAGAAGGAGAAGGGCGAGTCTGGGGAAGGGGCGGCCAAGTACAGGTCGATGGGAGAGCGGCCCGAGCCGGGCGGACGTGACCCTGAGGAAAACCACCCGCCACTGCCGTGCAGCTGCCAGCTTCCAGGTGCCCCGGGGCTGCAGGAAGGTGAAGGGGGTCAAAGGCATCCAGGCCTTTGACATCCTCTGAGCAGATGGGCAACTGGATGGGAACACCCTGTGCATTTTGCTTGGAATTCATTATGACATTTAATAGGATCTGTTGTTCAGAGTAATTTGGACTTCCCAGGGGTGACCAGCAACACTACAGACGCTGCCGGGCTTTTTTCTAAGGCAGAGGGACCTCAGGCTGGGAGTGGGAAGGCCTGGGGACTGTTCCAGCTGCGTGACCTCACCCAGCAGGTCACTTTCCTGGACCTCAGCGTCCTCATCCGTCCTTTCCAGCCCTCATATTCAGCTCTGACATTGATGTCTGCCCACAGGAGCAGATACGCCTTGCGAAGTACAGCTGACCATAATGGTAATGAGTTATTGAAGGGTGAGTCCCTTCCCGCACCCAGCTTCCATGGGGACAGGAATTTGCAGGGGAGCTGGAAATTTGGGAGGAGGTTTGGTGGAGCCAAGAGGTACCTGTGAGGTGTGGTTAGCACAGGTCGGACTCCCCACTCAGCTCGGCTGCCCACAGAGATGCGCTATGGGGGCCGAAAGGGCTGACATCCAAGCGATGTGCCCTGGATGCTACTTCGCCATGGAGGCTCACTGTGGTGAATCCCCACAAAAGTGCTGTCTGAGCGAGTGGACATTTTGGGAGGTAACATTCCCTGGACGCCGCTGACAGGCGGGGTGTGTGAGGCAGAAGGAGACAGACAGGAAACCAGAGGAATCGAGGTCCGCGCAAAGGCAGGCAGAGTGCTGAGAAGTCCAGGCACCTCTGTGCCCGCAGAGGGGTCTCCGGACTCCGGGCTGTGGCTGCGAGGGGGGAGGAGGGGCAGTAGCCACAGTGCACCAGAAAGCTGGATGGGTGGTCAGCCCGCCCAAGCGCGGGCAAACACATCACCCCACTTCAAAAACTGATGGTTTTAACTACCTTTTCTAAAAAGACCCGTGAGAAATACGATAAATGATTAGTAGCGGCTTTCTTAACGTAGAAGTGATATGGGATGCTTTCTCCCATCCCTTGTTCTGATTTCCAGATTTTCCATGGTGAGTACAGAGTTTGTGGGGGTTTTTTTTAGAGGGGGAGCATAACAGACTCAGGAGAAATGAAGCAGGAGCTGCCCTAGGCTGGAATGAGCTGAGTGCCTCCATCCACCTGCCCCCTTGTTGTTGCCCCCTGCCCCCCCATACACCCGTCTCCTAGCCCAGAACACACACCCAGACGACTCCTTCTCACCATTCTGTCCAGACAGCAGACCCCACATTGCCGGCTCCGTCCCTCTAGCTGAGCTCAAGTGGCAAAAGAACCCAGGGGAGCTCCCACTTGGAAGTGAGGGAAGGCTGAGAGGGCCAGATAAATACTTTCAGGGCACTCTGGAGAGGTGAGCGCACCGAGGGGACAGCCTGAGAGGTTTGCTTTGGCAGCGTGCCCCGCCTGCGCTTAGCACGGCCTTGCACAG